GGAGAGAGTGAGCTGGAGTCGCAGAGAGATCCTCTCACACACTGGTGAAGCCCTCCCCCTGCTGTCAGTTCTAGGGTATTACAACCACCCCTGCCATCACACTCCCCCTAGTGCCCATTCCTGGGTATTACAGGACCCTCCTCTCCGGACACTCAGAAAGACATCGAGGTGGGACCTCTGTGTGGGACCGGGAACCCACACTCGGCCCCCGGTTCGGGACTCTTACCGGACTGCGCCGAGGACGGTCCTGACAAGACAAGAGCAGAGAAGACAGAGGACATGAGCCGATCTGCTGCCTCGGAACTCGTTCATTCTCTCTCGGAGTCTTAACGAGTCCTAACGAGTCCGAACCAGTCTTAACAAGTCTTAATAATAATAATAATAATAATAATAATAATAATTGCTTACACTTATCTAGCGCTTTTCTGAACACTCCACTCCAAGCACTTCACAGGTCATGGGGACTCCTGTCCACCACCACCAATGTGCAGCCCCACCTGGATGATGCGACAGCACCCATAGTGTGCCAGAACGCTCACCACACACCAGCTCTCAGTGGGGAGGAGAGCAGAGTGATGAAGCCAGTTCATAGATGGGGATTATTAGGAGGCCATGATGGGTAAACACCAGGGGGGAAATTTGGCCAGAGAAACCGGGGTTACACCCCTACTCTTCTTGAGAGACATCCTGGGATTGTTAATGACCACAGAGAGTCAGGACCTCAGTTTGACGTCTCATCCGCAGGACGGCGCCTGTTTACAGTCCAGTGTCCCCTTCACTATACTGGGGCATCAGGACCCACACAGACCGCAGGGTGAGAGTGCCACCTGCTGGCCCCACTCACACCTCTTCCGGCAGCAACCTTAGTTTTTCCCAGGAGGTCTCATTAAGGAGGTTAATGAGTCCTAACGAGTCCAAACGAGTCCAAACATTCCATACACTTCTATATAGACTTATACTTCTTCTATATAGAAGTGTAAGCAATGATTGTTAAGAAAGGATTTGAAAACACTCACCAGCCCACAGCAGAGCAGAGAATAGCAGGACCCAGCCCATCATCATCAGACCCCTGGGGACAGCAGGAATAGTTCAGTACAGCTCTGGAGAAACACAC